GGACTTCCACCGCCCGACATCCCCGTCACTCACCGCCACCGCGTATCTGGTGACGTTGTCCCTCTCGCTGTCCTCGATCACCTTCTCCAGGTCTGGGCTGTCGTGGGACTCTCCATCTGTGATGACAATCATTACTCTCTTTGCCCCTTTCCGGCCACCTTTCCGAAACGCTTCCGAGCTGCAAGTGAAGAGATGTCCCGGGCTGCTCAGCCCCGCCGGCTCCGTGCTGGCCGAGCCCGCCCCGAGGCGTCCTTGGGGCTGCTGCCCCTCGGGGAGGAGCAGGAACCCCCGGGAATCGCTTTGGGAAGCGGATTTCCCCGCTCCTTGCAGGAAAGAGGCCAAAATTCACCCAAATCGGGTGAGGAAAAGGATCTTGAGCCGGCCAGCGCAGTTCCGGCCTTGGCCCATGTGAGGGAAAATTTCCTCATCCCGGGATTTTGACAAAGCACGGTCAAAATTCCAGCGAATTTATGGAAAAGGGACACTGAGCAGGGCTGGGGACTCCGTGTGGCACCAATAATTCAGGGCCGTGCTCGGATCTGGCCAGGATCCATCCAAAACTTTTCCAAGCTGCCCAGGGCAGTGCTGGAATCGCCATTCCTGCAGGGATTTCCAAACCACTTGGATGCGGCACTTGGGACATGGTCAGTGGTGGCCTTGGCAGTGCTGGACTTGATCGTTGACCTCTTTTCCAGCCTCAAATTCCATGATTCCCAGCAGGAATACCGCTTGGGAAAAGTGCAGGAGCAAGGATTTGTCCCTGGAGAGGGAGGAGGTGGAGCTGTCCTGAGCTCCTGGGGACTCCCCGGGGATCTCCAGGACAGCTCCAAGTCCTGGAGCTGAATTTGGGGGCTGGGAGCTCCTCCCTGGGAACTTCCAGGGATAGGACACAATTCCAGAGCCTGCCCCAGCTGCAAACGAGGACGGAGCAATTTTGGGAAGCGCCACTCACAAAGCTTCCCCCAAATCCCATTTTCCTGCAAACCTCTGGCGATTCCCCCATTCTTAAGCAGCAGGGAAAACAGAGGGGGGGGGAAAAAAATATGGATTAGAAGGTTTTCCTGGGAATAGGAGCGGGAGCGGGAGGGGTTTTACCGAGCGAACTCGATGCCGTAGGCGGTCCTGGTCTCGGTGCCCCCTCGCTGCTCGATGTGGCTGGCGGCCGCCACCACGTCCTGCACGGACCTGTAGTCGTTCAGGTGGAACTCATGGACCACGTCCTCTCCATACTGGACAACTCCCACCTGGGAACGACGGGAATGGCACCAGAAAGGCCAACGGGACGAGGTCCCGTCCACCGCGCGCGTTGTGAACCGCGGGGATCAACAGCCACGGGGAAAAATTCCATCGCTCATTGGTTTTTTTTCCAAATTCCATCGCTCTTTCTTTATTTTTTTTGGAAATTCCGTCGCCCAGTTTTCTCCCTCCATGGGATCGTTATTCATTCCCAGTTTTATGGCTCTCCCGCCTGCTTTGCTCCCGAGTTTTGGGGTGATCTAGACGTGCCACGCTCCACTGTCCCAGTGTGGACCCACAGCATCTCCAGGTGGGACCAAACTGGGTTATTTGGGAAAATCTGGGATATTCCTGCCTAAATTCCTGCCTAAATCAACCCATGATTACTCGGAGCGAGAGCATGGAGAACTCCTTTCCGTGGGTTTCGTCCTCCCTGCTCCCACTGGGATGCGGGATCCCTCCATAGCTCACTTAGGGACATTAATGGGAGCCTTTCTTTCCCATGGGATAAGTTAAAAAATCCCAATATTTTGACAAATTCCAGCAGCTTGACAGAAAAGGGACATTGGGAATGGCCCTGGGATGACACAAACAGTTCAGAGCCTCACCTGGATCTGTCCAGGACCGATGTAAAACTTTTTCAGGATATTTATCAGGAAGTGCTGGACTTCAACCCACGGATAAATGCTATTGGATCCATCCAGAACGATGATGATGTCCATGTAGGTCTGGCATCCTGTGGAAAATCCAGGGATTTATTAAAAGTCCTCCCGCAAAGGGGCAGATTTATGGCTTCACTTCCAGCCAGGTACTTCCTCTCAGGATTTTTCGGGGGGGGAAAAAAAAAATGTGATTTCAACAATTTGGGAAAGAACTTTGGGCTCCAGCAAGGTGGGGAGAAGCCGCAGGAATCCTCTCCGCTGTGAAAAGATGGGATCACTTCCTAGGAATAACACTCGGCGGCATCATTTGGGATTCAGCTTTGGAATTTGATCCCATTTAATATCATTCCACACTTCAAAGAGGAGCAGGATCCGGCTCCGTTCCTCCCGCAGAGCCGTTCCTGATCCCCGAGTCATTCCCAGCCCTGCCATGGAACACAAGGCGGGCATTTCCTCCCTTCCCATGAAATCCTCGGCTCCGAGGCAGCCAAAAACCCCGGAGGGGACCCCAGGGCTCGGCTCCGCAGCCGGAGCAGGAAGGATTTCAGGATTTTTTCCAGTGGGGAAAATTGCTGAGGATCGTCTCAGCCTTGCGGATGTTTTACAGCATTCCTTGATGATCCTGGATTTCAGAGATTTATCGGCTGCTCTTTCACCCTGTAGGTTTTTATGGATGAAGGAATCCATGGATTGGAGTGACTGGGATCCTCTGGGTGCCTCCATCTCCATCCCATCCTGGCAATCAGGGAGAGGAGCTGACCCGGCATCCCATTAAATAAACACTCCCTAAAAATCCCTAAAATCCCAATTATCCTTTGCAGAGAGGGTGGGACATAACGAGGGAAGTGACACTGGGAATTTGATGATGCCTTTACGGCCATGATCCCGAAAATCCCATTTTTTCCAAGGCCCTCTTTATGCCCTGGGAATTTGGTGGTGGGCTCTGCCTTTCCTGCCTTGATCCCCTCCAAATCCCATTTTTACCAGCCCATTTTCCCTGGGAATTAACCAGCACCAGCGGGGTTCTGGAGCTGGGGAACCACATCCCATGGGATGAGGAGCTCCCAGGAGCAGGACAGGCTTCTGGGAATCCTTCCCAGCTCCACGAAAGGCAGGAAACATCACTTAAACCCTCCAAAATAAAATCCCGGCTCCCGAATTCCAATTTATTTAACTCCAGGTTAATGAGGGCTTTGTTTTGTGCAGTCAAAATGGGATTGGAGATGGGATCGAAGCCGGGATTGGAGCCGGGATCGGAGCCGGGATCAAAGCAGGGATTGGAGTCAGGATTGGAGCTGGGATCAAAGCAGGGATTGAAACAGGGATTAGAGCCAGGATTGGAACTGGGATCGAAACAGAGACTGGAACCAGGATTGGAGCTGGGATCAAAGCAGGGATTGAAACAGGGATCAAAGCAGGGATTGGAGCCGGGATTGGAGCTGGGATCAAAGCAGATATTGGAGCTGGAATTGGAGCTGGGATCAAAGCTGAGATTGGAGCTGGGATTGGAGCCAGGATCGGAACTGGGATCGAAGCAGGGATTGGAACCCGGATTGGAGCTGGGATCAAAGCAGGGATCAAAACAGGGATCAAAGCAGGGATTGGAGCCGGGATCGGAGCCGGGATTGAAACAGAGATTGGAACCGGGATTGGAGCTGGGATCAAAGCAGGGATTGGAGCTGGGATAGGAGCTGGGATTGGAGCTGGGATCAGAGCTGGGATCAAAGCAGGGATCAGAGCTGAGATTGGAGCTGGGATTGGAGCTGGGATCAGAGCCGGGATCAAAGCAGGGATTGGAGCTGAGATTGGAGCTGGGATTGGAGCTGGGATTGGAGCTGGGATCAGAGCCGGGATCAAAGCAGGGATTGGAGCCAGGATCGGAGCTGGGATCGAAGCAGAGATTGGAACCCGGATTGGAGCTGGGATCAAAACAGGGATTGAAACAGGGATCAAAGCAGGGATTGGAGCCAGGATCAGAGCTGGGATCAAAGATGAGATTGGAGCTGGGATCAAAGCAGGGATTGGAGCTGGGATTGGAGCCAGGATCAGAGCTGGGATGGGAGCTGGGATAGGAGCTGGGATTGGAGCTGGGATAGGATCTGAGATTGGAGCTGGGATCGGAGCTGGGATCAAAGCAGGGATTGGAGCTGGGATTGAAGCAGGGATTGGAGCTGGGATCAAAGCAGGGATTGGAGCTGGGATTGAAGCAGGGATTGGAGCTGGGATTGAAGCAGGGTCTGGAGCCGGGATCAGAGCCGGGATGGGAGCTGGGATTGGAGCTGGGATCGGAGCTGGGATCGGAGCTGGGATGGGAGCTGGGATAGGAGCTGGGATCAAAGCAGGGATTGAAACAGGGATCAAAGCAGGGATTGGAGCTGGGATCAAAGCAGGGTCTGGAGCCGGGATCTCGGTCCTCACTCTGCAGAGCCGGAGCCACGGTTCTGGAGAAGCGGAAGTTGGAGTTGACGCGGGAGCACATTCCCGTGGTGTAGTAGGAGCTGCCGCACTCGTGGGACCACAGGGGGCTGCAGGCCTGGCGGGGTGAAAAAAGCAGGATTTGGTTCCGGGGATCCCTTTTCCTTTTAGTTTAATTCCATTTTACTTCATTTCACTGGATCCCGTTTTCCTTCATTTCGATTCCGTTTAATTCTACCTGAGTTTTCTTACCTTTCGTTTTATCTCCCTACGCTCCATGAACAAAAACCCACCGAGAGGAACCTCCTGGCGCCTTCCTGCCCCGCATTCCCGGATTCCCAGCCCGCATTCCCGGGAATGCCGCTCACCAGGAAGCTGCTGTCCCTGGGGTTGGTGGCCAGGCTCAGGCCCAGGCGCATGTTGTCCTTGCGCTCCGACACGTTGGACAGCGTCACCCGCCCTTGGGAGAGAGGCTGGGATTAGGGACATTCCCGGGAAATCCCAGATTCCCCCTGGAATCTCCGGAGCAACAGGGAATTGTGTGCTGAGAAAAGTCTTCACTCCGGGTTTTGGGAATTTTTAGAAGGTGAGAAAAAAATTGGAAAAATTTGGATTTTTCCTTCATGAACAACCAAGGAAGGAAATTTCTTTAGGGAATGAGGCCGGGAGCTGGGGAGGAGGAAATCCCTCGGAGTGCTCAGCTCCTCATCCTGGATTCCCAGGCTGGTTGCTGATCCAGGGAAATCTGGACATTCCCGGGAAATCTGGAACGTCCCCCGGAATCACTGGAGCAGCTGGGAACTGTGCACCGGAGAAGAATCTCTGCCGGCTTCACTCCTGGTTTTGGGGATTTTTGGAAGGTGAGAATTGGGTTTTTCCCTGGATGAAAAACCAAGGAAGGAACATTTTTTTTTGGGAATGAGACTGGGAGCTGGAAAGGGGGAAACCCCTCCGAGGGCTCGGCTGCTCATCCTGGATTCCCAGGGAATCCCAGTTTTTTCCACGGCACATCCCAGAAATCCCCCCCAGGGCAGCCCTGTCAATCCCAAATGGGATTGGTCACTGAGCTGCGTCCCAAATCCTGATCCAACCGTTCCTCTGGAAAACGCAGCTCCCCGTGGGCCAGAGCTCCCCCTTTGGGAAGCAAACTGGGAATCATGGAATTATTTGGGATGGAAGCAATTCAAAGCCCATCCAGTGCCACCTTCCACCATGCCCGGGTGCTCCAAGCCCCATCCCAACCCGGCCTTGGACACTTCCAGGGATCCAGGGACTTCTCTGGGAATTCCACCTTCCCGGGGAGGAATCCCATCCCAAGATCCCGTTTTTCAGGGATCATTTGGGTCTGGAACGCCATACCCAGGTTGAGCTTGGTGCAGTTTCCGTGGCTGTCACTCAGCACTGGACACTTGTAGACGTCTCCGGTCTTCTGCTGCCCGTTGGATTCGTACGGAGCTCCCACCACCAGCCTGCGGAAAACACGGATCCGTCAGCACCGGGACAACGGGAATGCCCTGGGAAAAAGGATTCCTCAGCCGCAATTCCCGGATTTGGGAGCGGCAGGAGAGGGTCCCGACCTCAGTGGAAGGACAGGTTCTCCTTCTCTTCCCGTTGGAGCAGCAGGAAGTTGGGAATGTGACTCTGCCACACGAAATTATGGAATTCATTCCCGTCAGCAGCAAGGAACAGATTCCTGGCGGGGAGGGAGGGCTCCAAACCCTCCTGGAAGCACCAAATCCCTTGGAATCAGCTGAGGAACCCATGGATTGTCCCTTCCCTCCACTGCCCATGGAAGAGCTTTTCCATAGGGTCATGGAATGGTTCGGGATGGAAGGGACCTTAAGGATCATC